CTGTAATTAAAAAAAATATGTATAAATAATACTTCTGCTTTGCGCACACACATTATATTATTTTGCTATCCTAGAGAAGTAAAATACCAAATTGAAAATTAGTTCAAACAATTTTTATGAACAATAGAGATATCACAACTTTAAAGTGACTTTGATCTTATTTTAATAACACTACTTCATACAATTAGAATTTTTGAAGGAAAAAGTAAACTTTCAAGTCAAAATTATTAAGGAACAATTTACTTGAGTCTGTGCATTTTCCAGTAGAATTTATAAGAAGTCAGCATTTTAATAGGGAGGGAATCATAATAATGCATCAATGGTAATATATTTATATTGCTCAAAAATCAGTTGACCCTTCATCTATGTCTTTAAAATGTTTGCTATAAAAGACATACATGCAGAGAGTGCAAAGTATAAAAGCAAAGTTCACAAACATAACAGTAGGAAAGTTCCAGCTGGAATCCCTTCAAAACATTATTTTAATGTTCCTTGTTACCTAATAATTTTTGGATTATTCACAAATCCCTTACTTGTTTCATGATTATTTTTGGAGATGAAAATCAATAAAATTATTAGTAATACTTTAGCTTTTCAATGAAACATATACATATTTAACTTTAAAAATTAAATGCATTTGTAAATAATGATTTTAAATGTTTTAATGGTTCTGATAAATTATTTGAGAATGATATTACCTGGATGTCTTATCTATATCTGTAAAATGTAAAGTCACTATTGTAATGAGGCAGAATACTTTATGGTATACATAGCTATATTTAAAACAATAGCCTTTACAACCACATTGCCAAAGGAAAATGAAAAAAAAAACTAATTACGTGAATATTTACAACATCCAATATGATCATATGAATTAAAAGCATGTTTGATAGTTTAAATTGAATATATAAATAAGCCACAAAAGTTGGCATTTTTATTTAGTTAATCACAGTAAAATACTATTAAGAAAAGTATACACTGGTGTGGTATTTTGTCACCCCTAAAACTATGAATGATAGGTATTAACATTTAAGACTATATTACAGTAGCATAGAGATTTATATAAGTACACGGATAGGTAGATGCCTGCTGTGCCAAGGACAGAGCATTGAAGTACTTGCTTCTCTTACTACAGAAAATGGACAAGCTGAAATCATCTGTCAGAATTTGAACAGGAAACTTAGTTGTTCAAGTTGAGATATTCTGTATTTATTAGTTTCTAGCAAAAATCACTAATGCCATGCTTAAAACACAGATTTTTGATAGGAACGTTTTAAGAAAATACAGTTATACATTTGGTTTTTAAAGATAGTAGGCAGTATACATATTAATCCAAATTATAGAGTGAGTCTCTTCATGAATAGATTTCTACACTGTACACACGGGCACATATTCCTCTTCTAATTATAGTCATGGTAGAAATTTGTTTTATTCAATTTGTTATAAAATCATTTTAATCTATAAAATAATATGAAATTTCTAAAAGCATTTTTAAGAATGTTAAATATATTTCTGATATATGTATATATTTCTGAGTTTTATAAAATTTATTTTTACTTTTATTTTCGCCAATCCTGGGGCTTGAACTCAGCACTTGTGCATTGTTCCTGAGCCTCTTAGTGCTGAAGGCTAGTGCTTTCCCATTTGAGCCACAGTGCCACTTTATAGACTTTTTCTGAGTACTTACTGAAGAGTCATATGGACTTTTCTGGTGTGGCTGGCTTTGAAACACAATACTCAGATCTCAGCCTCCTAAGTAGCTAGGATTACAGGCATGAGCCACCGGCACCCAGCTAAGTATTTGTCTTTAACATTTGTTAATTTTGCTTAATTATAAACTTCTTTTGTATAGGAAATTATTTGCCCAGGAAATGTTGTTATTAGGAAGTTAAAACATGATTACATCTTACCTAATTATCAAATTGAACAAGAACCATCTTTAAATTTTACCCTATGCAATTATTGTGAAAATTTACTTTTAAGTATTTAATATCTAAAAGTTAAATATTGTTTTTCTGCAAGCAAGCATTTATTCTCAAAATTGTAAGTTCTGTAATAGAAGAATATTGAAAACATTTATGAAATGGCAAATTATAGTATTTTAACATAATTTTATGAAGAAAACAACAATCAACCATGTCTTTCCAAAGACCTATTTTAAAATTGTATTAATTTTAAATATCAATGTTGTTTTGTTCAATAACAACTCAAGAATAGAACAGAATGAAGTTGGGGCTACAAGAACTATTCTACAGGTCTTCTGTTAAAGGAAACTCAAATACAAATAGTTTTATAAGATGTACTGTCTGAAATAGGTAAATATATTAATTTCTACTATACTGAACATTAATCTCACATTATATTTATTATAACCACAAGTTTTATTTTTTTAACTATAACTAGTATTTATAAGAACAAATTTGAGTATGGAACACTAACTTATGTTTCAAAACATTACATTCCCTCTAATCATTCTTTCCTTTTCAGACATTGTTCAGACATATTGTATTGACTTATAAATGTAAATACCTTCCAAATAATATGCATCTTTGCAAACTGGAGCATTAATTTTATCATCATATAAATATATATTCATGAATATAGTACTATTCGCTGGGATTTAGTTTTAACCATACATTTTATGCAAAAAATGTCAACTATACTGGTTCATTTATTAAATATTACTGTTGTCCTAAATTTTACTGACAGGATTGATTTCTTCACAAATAACAACAGTTTTGTCATAATTAAAAGCAGACATTGTTTGCACCTTAATATTTATAGCATGTAAAATTTTCTCTTAGGTAATAATAGGCAACTCTGTGTAAGATTATTGATCTTAGAAGATTAAAGGAAACAAATATAAAAAGCGTTTAAATTCTACATTTAAGAAAGATGTATAATAGACTAACCAAGAAATATCTCACCCTATTTTTTTTCCTGTCCTGAGGCTTGAACTCTGGGCCTGGGCACTGTCCCTGTGCTTCTTTTGTTCAAGGCTAGTAATCTACCACTTGAGTCACAGCACCATTTCTGGCTTTTTCTGAGTAGTTTACTGGAGAAAAGAGTTCATGGAGTTTCTCTCCCAGGTGGTTGGTTCTGGGCTAAATCCCAGCCCCTAAATTTTATTTTTCATAAAAAGACATGAAAATCCTTTGACTTGTCCTGTTCTCCTGATGATCTAAAAAGATACATCTAATTACTTATACAATAATAACCTACTAAGGACATAGACGCCTAACAGATATGATAAGTTGAGACTAGAGGTAAGAATTCATTTGTACAATACCACAGAAGCATTTTTTTTTTTTAAAGTCAGGCCAGAGTTAAAGAGACATCATTGTGGAAGGTTAGACATCACTCAAACTGAACACTGGTAAAAAATAGAAAAGAAGCATGAAGAGATGACTTACTTAAATAATAGGAAGTTTAAGGTAAACAACCTTTATTTAAAAAATTTCTAGGACTTGTTATGCAAGATAAGCATTGGATAAGTTAGTGATAGATTAATATTACAGATTTACTCTCCCTTATCTAAAGTGCTGGTGTCACAAGTTTTGCATATTTAGCTGTTTATTTTTATTTTTGTTATTATAATGTGACAAAGAAGGATTAAAGTTATGTATGGCTTTTTTTCAGTTTTGGAACATTTAAGCGTGTATAAGATACTATGGGATAAGTCCTGAGTACACAATTTATTTATGCTCTATATAAACCACATACACATTTTATATAATACATGTGGTAGTTGGCAATCAAAATAGATAACAAATATTATGAAAATAGAACGGGTACAATCTCTCCCTTCACAGTTATAAAATCACAGTGAATTAGTTCCTATCTTAATGTTCATATTTAATCAGATCTATCAATATTAATACCTTCCCTAGTGATGGTCTTAATACTTTTCAAGATACTCCCATAGAAGCTTTACCTTTTGTTATTGGAAAAAATGTTTCAATATTTGTACAAAAAATTTTAATTCAACATGTCAATTTATATATACAATGTATCTTGATCAGTGTCAGAACTCTCAGAACCAACATGAGGTCTCAAGTGGAGGGAAGAGCCTAACTGGAAATAAAGCTAATTTAGACAAAAAAGAGACTTCAGAATTGATAGAATTTCTGATTGCACTTTTTGGCATCTGAATCTAAAGCCAACATAGTCAGTAAGACTTCCCATGTTGTTTTAACTCTGAAACTATGATTTATAATTGGCTAAATTATGCTCATATCATGTTCTGGTTCATTTATCAAACATACTGATATTATGTCAAATTGTGTGTGTGTGCATGCATGCATGCATGTGCGTGTGCATGCCTGTATGTGCACTGTCCTGAGTCTTGAACTCAGGGCCTGGGCACTGTTCCTGAGCTTTTGTGCTCAAGGTTAGCACTCTATCCCTTGAACTATACCTTTACTTCTGGCTTTTCTTTGTTTCTTTTGAGGGAGGTGGGTAGTTCATTAAGGACAAGAATGTCACAGACTTTCTGAACTGGCTTCAAATGGTGATCCCTAGATTTGAGCTTCCTGAGTAGGCTAAGATTATGGGTGTGAGACATGGGCAAACAGTTTATTTCAATTTAATCCATAATAAGCAGGATTAAGTTACCTTTTACCATGATACTCTCATAATATAACAGGATGAACAACTTTCAAATTGCTTTTTGATGGCAGTTATGCACATTTAACAGTGTTTAATGAAGATGCATATTTTAGTATGATGTACATTTAGTAGTTGATCTCAGCAAATTACAAGTTTTCTTCTCTTAAATTAAGACTTTATCCAGCAGTTCTTCTACTATTCTGCTTCATCCACTTACACTTGATAACCAAATGAAAGGCAGAGTAGTTTTCACAGTAATGTCTAATCTCATAAATATCATGCTATCTTTGTTCATGTTTTAACCCTCTGCTCATCACCACCTCAGATTTAAAGTGGAGAGTGACCTGTGATGTGTGTTGTTATGTAGATGTCTACAATTTATATCATGTTAC